AGTGTCCATTGGAAGTTAAAGGGGAGGGCGAATAAACGAGCGAACGAGAGAGATAAAAACCAAGTGAACTAGTTCAATCCACTAACTAGAAAGCGCCAGTGGCGCTAACGATAAAACAAGTAATAATGTTGATACTTTTATTGCGTCTTAGCTTGTGTAAATACAGCTCCAGGCTCATTAGGTGAATGAAAGTACGGTACAAATTCTTAAAGGAACAATACTGTACATACTGGGGAACAATTAATTAATTTTTGCTCCAAAGCACATACAGAAGAAAGAACACGCGCACGCACGCACGCACACACACTCACATACACACACACACTCACGTCTCTCTCTCTCTCTCTAACTCTAACACACACTCAATCATTTGAGAACACACACGCACTTGCAAAAAAAAAAAACGCACACAGAAACCACACATACACACACAATAAAAAAAAAAAATAGCATTTGTATGGCACTAATTCTTGCTCAACAGCAAACTCTATGCGCTTTATAATCCCAGCAGAACTGACAGCATTCTAAAACAATCCCGTCTTCCCGGGACGCATACAGTGCAAGCTGTCATTTTTTAGGCACTAAAACATTAACATACTGACAAGATCTTTCACTGTCTATAGCTGGGTACCCATTCTCACCTGGGTATAGTATTTTTTTTTTATAGTTGAGGGTTTTACGGCGCTCGCAACTGCATAAGGTCATATGAGCGCCAGAAGAGAAGTCTTTACAGGGAATCAGACTTACCCTGCTCACCTCTCTAGCTTCAACAGCACAAAGTCTGCTTCAACTATCAAGGCATCCCGGAAATAGCAGGTCACAACAGAGTGACAAACATACAAAAGAAGTAGAGGAAAATGACAATAGTAAGTAATAGGAAAGAAAAAGCAGCAGTTCCCTGTTGTAGATCAGGTACAGTTATGAGCGTGGCAAGAATCCGCCCATTTACAATTCTACTTTGCTTGAGTGAGAAATGCCCCCCCCCCCTTTGGGAATGGCCTAAAGACACTACAGTCAGTGGCACTGCCCCCCCGGGGGGGGGGGGGGTCACCTGGGTGAAGTGAGGAAATTACGTGTGAAGCGCCTTACCCAAGGACACAACGTCGGGCCTGCAGCTTGAACCCATGAACCCGCAAACCTCAAGATTACGAGTCCGGTAGCCTAACCACTAGACTACCGACATCACGCTAAATGATTTTGGAAATGCTATAATTTGTGAATAGCGATATAAGTGAAGCAGGTCATAATACTTACCTATTATAAATTATGAAAGCATGCTAAAATCGATACGTGAAAACCGAAGAAATGACGCAGACGATTTTCAATGACTATACATGGGTCACGGACTTTGGACTGAGAAATACGAGGGTTGTCTCAAAATGTAGGTGAAGATGACCATAACTCAAAACTAATGTATCGATTTTCTATTTATTGTGAACGCTTCACCGATTAAAGCTGGTAATGTTCTGAGGTTATACCTTCCCCAAATCCACAACAATAAAACAAACACCTTGACTGATTGAATTATTGATTCATCAAAAGTTTGTCTGTCCTTGTCTGACGATGACCAATGCATACTTTGGCAAAGGAGAATATTTATTTATACAAAATAGAAGAAATAATTGGTTAAGATGACTTGTGATTTATTCTGCCATGGCTGGTGAGACCATAGAAACGCCTTAAACGACGATGCATTAATATAATATGATGTTGGTAGGAAAAAACAAAAAAAAGAAAGATGGTAACCGATACTGTTAAAAAGATCTGACCACACACAACTGATTTTATATTTGGATTATTCTTTTGTCAAAGTGATTACCAAGCTGGATCTGTTCTTCATTTCAGAACCAAAAACTCCAAACCGGCCAAAATTGATTGAGGGAATTATCTTAGGAGCGTGATCATAGAACAGTGTATGAAGAGATTGCACAGCCTAATGTTTGGCTCGGTGGTTGCCATGCAAATCAATCGACAGAAGATCGCCACATGCAACGCATGGAGGGTTCTCAGACACGTTAGAAACATGCACAGTACAGGGATGGCATTGATGGCCAAATATGAGACCTGGTGACGACAAGAATTCAATTATTAATTGTGGGAGCTGATGGTGATGTCACATGAAGGTGAGGACTTTCTTGACAAAATTTGTGTCACGACGAGATGGAATCAGGCGCTCGTCAATTTTGGGCATGTTGAGTTCCTGATATCATCTAAAAGCTGTTTCCTTTGCCTTGCTTTCGATTTTTTTAACAACTGTGAGACATCGTCGTGAAATCAGGCGCTCGTCAAAATAAAACAAAAGGAAACAGGCATTCCTCTGACCGTTGGGCAATTTTTTTCGAATTTTTTTTTTCAGCTCAACATCTTTTATGTCCATCTAAAACACATTTGCATGTGAATTTAACTGGAAAACGTTGATGAAAGGCAAAAAAATGAGCACATTTTCATTTTTCAAGGACTCTTAAGCTATTGACGTAACCAAACTTCGGCCACTATTTTCTCACTATTTTTACTCTGAAACCAGATGACTCCCACCTCCTTCAATCGCAAGTATCTCGCATTCTATTCAAGATTGATGAGTATTTTCATCGAAAGCAAGGCAAATGAACAAACTTTCAGATGATACCAACAACTCTTCATGCCCAAAAATTGACCAGCGCCCGATTCCACCGCGTCGTGACACCAATACCCAATTTGTCTTGAATAGAAGTCGAGATATTTGCCATTGAAGGGGATGGGAGTCGCCTGATAATTATCAGCGAGAAATTAAAGGCCGCCAAAGTATTGTGACTTGCATAGCTTGAGAGTAATCGGAAACTGAAAATTTATGTTTTTTTGTGCCTTTAATCAACGTTTCCCTGTAAAATGCACACCAAAATGTTTTTGAGTGGGCATAAAAAGTTCGGAGCCAAAATACATATATATTCGAAATAAATAAATCGCTAAACCAGCAGAAAAATTCCGGTTTCTTTTTATCTCATTATTTTGATAAGCACCTGATTTCACAACGATGCCTCACATTTGATGACAGTAAACATAGGTTTTGTTTACAAATTCTCAGTAAGGGGAAATGTATCATAGGCTTTGTTTACAAATTCTTATTAAGGGGGATATATAGCATAGCCTTTGTTTACACATTTTTAGCAAGGGAAAATATATCATAGGCACATACCATATGTCATGAATAAATACTGTTATATTACTTTCTTCATAAATATAATATATTATGGTCTACAACCACCTGTCGAAATTTTCCAAGGTTCAGCATTCTTGTCAAACACCCCTTGTAACTGACGCCCAAAATGTTCACGGTTCAGCACTCTTCAGAGAAACTCATTGCAAACTTTTTCAGGAATGTAAAAGATGGTTTTGTTGTTGTTGTTGCTGTTGTTGTTGTTGCTGTTGTTGTTATTGTTGTTGTTGCTGTTGTTGTGGTTGAGTAAAGAGAAGCACAATGACATAACAATGGTCATTTAGTACTGGAAAATGTTCAAGGTTCAGCAATCTTCGAAGAAACTCATGGCAATCGTTTTCTGGAATGTAAATGATGTTTTGCTTTTCAACATTCTGCTCTTTTGTCAAACCATGAATTATGTGACCAGGTGTCGTGAAACACTGAACAGAGTACGGGACTTACTAAGAGAAGTTGTTGTTGCTGTTGTTGTTGTTAATGCTGTTGTTGTTGTCGTTGTTGTTAATGTTATTGTTGTTGTTGGTGTTGTTGTTCCTGTTGTGGTTGTTGTTGTTGTTGTTGAGTACAGAGAAGCACATCGACACAAAACAATGGAGATATAGTAGTGGAAAAAAGTAAGACTGACAGACAGAAACAAAAGAGGGAAAGTAAAGAAGTAGGACCTACCAGTAGCATCCTCCAACCATCTGTCCAAAATTTTCTTGAAGCATAATAATGTATACCAAGTTGGCCCATTTTTACATAATGTACAAATGTCAGCACCAAAATTAGAACCCGGGACACACACACACACACACACACACACACACACACACACACACACACACACAAAAAAGCAAAGCAAAGTTTTAGCAGTAAGATAGGATAAGACAAGATTAGATAAAATAACACAGATAGATTTTATTGATCTATGAGGGAATCTTTAAGCAGATGTATCACACAATTAACATACAATCATTGAGCATGAACACATAAATTAATACAGTAACAATTACATTTTAAAACTTATATTACACAATGCTAGACGTTGCTGGCGACCCATTCGAATGCACTAAGCCCAGAAAGCAAAATTTTTCCTGAAAGAGAAAAAAAAACAACAATATGTGAGGCAGCGTGGTGAAACACTGAAATTGGAGAAACAGGCTTTTTCCGTCAGTTAGGAAATTTTTATCGAATTTTTATTTTTGGGCTCAACTTCTTTTATGTCCATATAAAAACACATTTGCGGGTGAATTAAATTGAAAAACATTGATGAGAGGGACAAAAAGTGTCATTTTTCTGTTTCAAGGACTTTTTAGCTATTGGAGCTACCAAACTTTGGCGGCCATTTTCTCGCTAATTTCACGCTAACAGGCAACCTCACTACAAGTACCTTCAACCGCAAACATCTTGAGTTCTATTTAAGATAGATGGATATTTATTCCATCTGAAGCAAGCCAAATAAATCAGTGTTTAGATAATACCAATAACTCCTCATGACCAAAAATTGAGGAGCGCCTGATTCCACCACGTGGTGACACATTTCATTCTTTGACTTTGAGCAACTGTACCTAAATCATGTACTTTTCCCAGCATTTTTCAACATTAAGAAGAGTCAGAAATTTCGACCAAATATTTCTTGTCATGAGGGGGAGGGGATGGAGATAGGGCAGGGGGGTTCTGTAATGAAGGGAGGGGCGGAGCCGATTGGGGGATGGGGTAAGGATCAGTGATTTGTAGTCTACTGAGGTGGAACGAGAGTAGTGTGATAGGTACAGTGTTCTGGGGAAACTTCACAAGAAACTGCAATTAAATATTTTTTTCTAAATTTTGGGCTTAATACATTTGAACAGCTGTCCAGTAACATGCAACAATAACGCACAGCTCACTGAATCAATTTGTCTGTTTGTTAGTTTGAATAAAAAAAGCACATCGACACAATAATGGTCATATTTTTAGTGCTGGGGAAAGTGAGACAGACAGACAGAAATAACAGAGGGAAAATCAAGAAGTAGGACATCCCAGTGGTGTACTCCAACCACCCACTCACACAATAGTACCCATACAATGACTGTGAGCATGAACTCACTCTCCGTCACTCTCTCTCTCTCTCTCTCTTGCTCTCCCTCTCTCTCTCTCTCCTCTTCTCTTCTCTTTAGTTCTTTCTCTCTTGCACACACACAGTGGAACCACCCGCAGTCTTCTCCCCAATCTCTTCTAAACACACCAGGCACACACATACAGTATAATCACACACAAAAAGAGTACCCAATAGGTCTTAGATATCGTACATCTGGGTTGGTGGCCTAGTGGTTAGGGTTCAAATCCTGTCAGGGCACCCAGGGGGGAACAGGTACCCAGCTATAGACAGAGAAAGATCTTGTCAGTTTGTTAGTGTTTGAGCACTTTATCCGCTGCTTTCACTGTATGCTTCCCGGTAAACTGAGAATATTTCTGAGCGTTCTATGGTCTGCTGGGGTAATAATATAGTGTAAAGTGCATAGAACTTGCTGTCGAGCGGGGATATTACTATACAAATGCTAATTATTATTTTAATTATGATATGATTCAGGGATATAATATGGAAATCAAACAAAGCAATTCAATGAAAGATAAATATAATGCAAAGAAAAAAATGTTCTTCGTAGAATTTCATGAATATTTGTGAATGACTTTGTCTTAAACTAAAATGAAGTGTTGGAAAGAGATGGCACTGAAGATATAATATCAAAACAACCATAAAAAGAATGAGACGGAGATAGAGAGTATAAAGATCTAGATGTTATGAGAATGCCACAGACAAGATCGCCCAGACAGACATATAAGTATAACAGTATTAAGATAACAAAAGTGGCACAGAGCTCAACAATTATAACTGTTGCTACTACTGTTGCTGCGGTTGCTGTTGCTCCTGCTGCTGTTGTTGCTGCTGTTGTTGCTGCTTCAGGTTGAATCCACCAAGACACTGTGGGTTGCTTCCTTGAGCCGGTTTGATCTCGGTTTGACTGTAAAAACAAATACAGAGACAATTCATTTATTAGAGAAAAAGACAAACACAGTCACAGGATTTTAATGGCTTTAAATGCAGGGATAAAGCAAGATAGGCAGACAGAAACAACAGAGGGGAAAGAGTTGGACTGATCAGTAGCACTCTCCAACCACCTTCACAATTCCTTAAATAAAGCCCACCGCTATTTATAGACCTTATTGAATTATAGGTAATGACTAAGGCAGACATTTCTGCTATGAAATTGAAAGGCTCTTCGCTAGGGCACACAAAAGACCAGAGTTCGGTACTCTCATAATTAAGTTTAATGAGTGCATCTCCATCTGCTGGGTGTGTGGGGGGGAGGGGAGAAATGGGGAGGGGGTTGGTGGGGTGAATGGGTGGAGGGGGATT